GGTCAAATGTTTGCTGACAGTAGAACACTCACTTCTTACAATCTGCCATAATACATCAACCCAGAGCCTTCATTTGGGTGGGGGCGGGGGGAGTTGATGTCATCACTTTTTCTGCTTTGAATGAAACCCACAAATATTCATTTCTCCATTCACTCATTTCAGCAGATTCTTTATTCCAAACACAAGCCACTGCTGGAGATGGCCCAGCCAACGCCAAGGAGAAAACTATGACCTTCAACATTCCAGAAAAATAAGAAAAAGCTGCCAAAATGTACATAAACGTCAGGCAAGAAACAGCAGTAAATTACCCACTAAGCCCCAAACTCTGATTTATCAGGCCCTTAGAGCTTGTCTGTTCCACAAATTATTAGACTTCTCTGGATCTGCCTTTCCCTACTCTTGAAACGAGGATTTCAGTGTCTTTCTAACTTAAGAAGGATTCTTGACAGAATAACTACTGATGGAAATGAGCATCAAGGACCTTCAAACATAAAGTCTTACAAAACATAATGCTTGAGGGTAATAATGGCTTTCTGGCCCTACAAGTTCTCCTTTCCCAGAAGAGCAGAAGCATTATCTAAAAATCAGAATTCCTCAGCCTGTAGAGGGTGATGATCAAGTATTCCTATCTCCTGGATTCTTTAAAGAAAAACAAATAAATCACAACCACTACCACTACCACCCTAAGACAACCACCCACCTGGGGCAGGGTCCTTTCTCCTGACAACATGTTGACTTCTACATACAAACACGAATCCATAAACACTGTTTTATGTGCATGTTTCTATTTGCATCAAGGTATATATTTTAGGTATAATTCTGCACCCTGCATTTTTTAGAGAAGGTTAATTTTGAGATATAGCCATGGTGATGTGTATAAATTCGTTTCATTCCTTTTAACGTCTTTGAGGTTTTCCATCACGTGACCATTCCACATATATTTATCCACTCCCCTATTAATGGTCATCTTAGTGGTTTCTAGCCTCATGATACCCATTTATCTTGTGTATGCATTACCTAGCCATTCTGCTTCCTGATTATCTGTACTTAATGCATTCGGCCTTGAACCTATTTGACCTCTGACTCCACTCACTTTCAACTCAAAAACACAGTGCACTCTAATTGCCAATTTATAGGATATACAAGAGACTGAGAAACATGTCAAACCACATCAAAAGGATGCAATCAGCAAAATCCTGCAAAAAAAAAAACCCTTACAGGATAAACTGTTTCTGTCAACAAAAATTGCCAGGGGGGAAAAAGAGAGAGATGAAAAGGGAACCTATAGTTTAAAAAAAGACTGTGCTTCAAAGGATACCATCAAGAAAGTGAAAAAACAACCCACAGAATGAGAGCAAAATGTTTGTAAATAATATATCCGATAAGGGACTTGAATCCAGAAATTATATGGAATTCTTCAGCTCAACAATAAAAGGAAAGACAACCCAATTAAAAATGAACAAAGGATCTGATCAGCTATTTCTCCTAAGAAGGTATACAAATGGCCAATAAGCACATGAAAAGATGCTCAACATCATTAGTCATTAGAGAAATGCAAATCAAAACCACAAAGAGGCACCATTTCACACTCACTAGAATGGGGATTATCAAAAAGACTGTGGGGGAGAATGTGGAGAAACCAGAACCTTCATACAGTGCTGGTATGGAACGGAAAATGGTGTGGTCACTTTGGAAAACAGTCTGGTAGTTCCTCAAAAGGACCTAGCAATTCTATTCTTAGATATAACAAGAGATACTGAGGACACATACCCACACAAAAACTTGTATGTGAATGTTCGCAGCAGCATTATTCACAATAGTCAAAAACTAGAAATAAGTCAAATGTCCATCAATTGATGAATGGATAAACAATGTGGAATATCCATTCAACGGAATATTATTCAGCCACAAAAAGGAACGAAGTACAGATACATGCTACAACATGAACTTTGGAAACATTATACTTAGTGAAAAGAGCCAGACACAAAAGGCCACATATTTTATGATTTATTTTATATGAAATGTCCAGAATAGGCAACTCCACAGAGAGAGAAAACAGATTAGTGGTTGCCTGGGGCTGAGGGGAGGAAGAACGAGGAATGGCTACTAACGGGCATGGGGTTTCTTTTTGGAATCATGAAAATGTTCTAAAATTGATTATAGTGAAGTTTGCACAACTCTGTGAATATACTAAAAAGTAAAAAAATAATGATTAAACTAAGAAAAAGAGAGAGACCTAAAAGACAAACCAATTCGCACTGTTTAAATCTTATTTAGATCCTGAGTTTTAACAGTACATTATAAAACAAAATTATAAGGTAATCATGGAAATTTGAACATTGAATATCTGATATTAATGAATTATTGCTAATATAATTTTATATAGCAACATATAAAATTGCTCTATAACTGTATATATTGATTATTGATATATAATCAATTGATATATTGATTATATATTGATAACAATTATATTTTATGAGTTATCCTTTTAAAAAGGAGTCCCTATATTTTAGAGATACATATTAAAATATTTACCAATGAAATGATATAGTGTCTGGGATTTGCTTCAAAATAAACTGGAGAGAGAGGTGGGAAGTAGAATGGGATACAGGTGAAGTGGTCATGAGCTGGTAACTGTTCATTAGACTATTTCCTCCTTTTTTGAGATGTTTGAAGTTTTCTATTTAAAAAAAAAAGGACAGAAGAAAGAGGAAATACTTCCATGCCACATTATTTTATGGTGAACTGATTATCAGTCCTCCAGGTGGGAAAACCCCATTTCAACTGTATTCAAGAAACAATTAGAAATACCTTGGACTTCCCCTTACATCCTCAGCGACCACTTTTTCTGCTTCAATTACAATCTTTCAAAAAAAAGGCTTTCATTTTTAATGCTTTTTCCTTAAAAAGCCATTTGTTGATTTCCTTTTATAATTTGTTTGGCCTTAGACCCAATGATTTTTTAAATTAAATTTTAAAATTTCCTTATCTTTGGAATTGTTTCTGCTTAAAGGATACATTGATCAACTTCCCTTGGCTTGTCAATTTCACTTGCTCCTGTGATGAAGCCAGATGAGAGAATCGTCTAGAACCATGAGACTGAGGCAGAGAGTCCTTGGTCACATTGAAAGGAAGAGATTTTCAGGGAGTGCTTAGCCCCAGCCCTTGTCCCAGAGCTGGGCCAGAAAACAGCACAACCTGAACCCCACCTGGATCCTCATGGAAACAACAACAGCTCTAAGTTCCTGACTACACACCACGTAAGAGGCACAGTACCAACCACTTTACCTGAGTAATGTTATTTAGTCATCGCAATAAGCCTAGGAGACAGGTACATACTATTATTTATCCCCGTTTTGCTGGGACCTCCAGAATGGCCAAGTAACTTGTTCTAAGTCACACAGCTTTATGTGGCAGAGCCAGGATTTGAACTCAGGCTGTCTGGCTCCAGGGCCTGCACTTACCCCAGGCTTTACCTCCTGGGTGAAAACTAGCTCATCACATCTTTGTTATGGTGTCACTAACGTTCAAGGGCCAGAAACTTTAGGCCAAAAATCATTCGCTTTGGCAACAGAAGCTGGACTATCTCCCAGGAAACCCCTCTCCACTGCTCCCTCATTAGAACCATCAATTTCACAAATCTTGCTCTTGAATAGCAATAACAAAAGGCAGATAACTTGTAAAAAGTGATCCACCCAGATATCTTAAAAGTTAAAAATGAAGAGAG